TTCATGCAAACAGGGACAACCCAAGGGTATTTCCATCCGATCCAATAATTGGGTAACGTTGATTGGGAAAACAGCCAGCAATGTGATCCGAAAGCCTTTAATATCCCATCCTGGAAACAGGTTGCCTATGGCGGTATTTCAGCTGATGTACATTCATCTCTAACTGCATACTTAATTATCCATCCACCTTTTTAAAGCTCAACTGAAGCAGTGTTAGCCCTAAGCGCCACCTTATTTTCAGATGATGTATCTTTAAGATGTAACCGTAGGGCCTGATTATGGGGCTGAAATATTTCTCTGTGGTAGGAATAGCTAGATTTCCATTAGAAAGACCATATTGTTTTGGGAGTTACTCAAAATGGGCTCTCTCACTCTACCTTGGGGGACAACAATCCACTGCCTCGCTAAATGAATGTTTAGAAGAGAGCTTGGCAGCATCTGGAAAAGGGAAAAAATACCTTTTAAAATAAATTCCCTTCTACAAAATAAATGTGCTTATTTCCCCAGCTGATGGTTACGAGGCTCAATTCCAGTAGTCATTATTTGTCAAAATCCATAATAATTGCAAAGCAGCACTCATTGATTGAGGTTCTGCTAGCATAATTTGTCAAATAAATGATGACTCAGCATTAATACGCAAAGATGAATGTGTTTAATTGAAGCATGCTGACCTTTTAAAAAATAAAAATCAAATATTATGCGAGTACAGCCAACCACTCAGTTAGCAAAAAGTGTATTGTTTGCTTGTTTTACCAGCTTTTCCATACACTATATTCCCCCACAGCCACATTATAATGGAAATCCCTGCTGCCAGACAGCTGCCACGCTCGACCCACTCAAGCCAGACATAAGGACAGACTGAGGCTTCCAATCCACGCTGCAGCTTTTGGACAGCTCGATAAACACCCACAAACCCATTTGTCGTAGCCCCCCCCCCCCAAAACCCCAAGCAGATTTTCAAGCTTTTCTGCAATCACTATCTCCACATGGCCTCGGAGAAAACATATTTGCCAAAAGGATAGAAGTGTGAGCACTGCTGTCATTTTTTGATTATCAAGTCCGATGAGACGGCGACCGATGTGGGAGCAAACAGAGGGGATTACTGCATTCTGTTGAATTCTGGTGTATTCAGGCATTTGCTGTGGCCTCATCTCAGCCATTTTAGGAGATAGGAAGAACCAATATCATTGTTGTATCTGATATTTGTATAGGTTGGTTTGGGCTGTGTCAGGAAAGATCAGGGGGGGAAAGGATAGGGATGACAACTGATAGAGCATGCATGTACTACTAATGTTCCTATCTCAGCAAATAACGGTTTCCTTCAGTCAGAAACTTGATAGACTATTCAAAGTAGAGCTGTCAAAACAGTATTGGTCATTCTATCCTTACTGAACTTGACACTAAAATATACTGGAGACTTATAACACCCGGCACTGATTGGCAGGCGGTGTCAGCTTCTCTGACTCATGTGATGCGTGCGGAGGCAGGGGAAACGTGTGAAATCAAATGCTGCAAACCTGGAAAAATCGGAAAGATTTACATGGTTGCTCAAGGGGATGTGTCAATCATGATCATCTCGCCTTGCGATGCTATTGCAAAAAATAATACCAGCTTGTAAATTGGGAGTATATACCGATTTCAAGCCACCCCATGCTCCCTAAAGATACATGTAATGTTATTGTAATAGCATTTTCCCACGGCAGTGTGTTGCTACGCGCTTTCCCTGAAGGCTTCTTATGCATCGTGAGTTTCATTGATGTTTATTTATGTGGCTGCAGTGGAAAAGAAGCATATCATAAATTATTAGTTTTTACTTTAAAGCCAGCACCACTGGATGTTGGCGCCTGATTTCCATATTGCAGCTTAAAAGTGGTCGCATTGGTGAAGTGCTCTGCCTATTTTTATATCCAGGGATTTTATAGTCCCATGAGGCTGTTTAATCAGAGCTAACTCTGTCTGGAATGGAATTACAGGGCGGCCCTTCTCCCTGAGCTCACGCAAACACACACACACACACACGCCGTATAAACGCACAAATACTGACAACCCCCTCATCCTAGCCCACAAATACATACACACACATGGAGGTCATAAAGCGCTCTCACTCGCTTCCGCGCTCTTACACGAGACAGAGTGATAGAGGGTGGTGCAGAGAGTGATCAATATGTTTGTGCTATAAATAGCCGGTAGCGCAGTGTGGTGCTAAGGAGGAGGGATGCAGGGGTAATATATTTGATGAGGGGGAACCCAGTGGTGCTCAGCAAGGAAATGTTGCTGCGCATTCACAAAAGCTTAGCCGGGGACGGGAGCATTACAGCTAGTTGTTACCTGGCCAAGGCTTTCTGAATGCATCTGAAATACAGCAGCACATTACAGCATGAGATCAGAAGCCATCGGTATTGCGGATGTGATATTTTCTGAAGGGGGGACAGATTGCTTGGCTTTACTTAAAGGCAACATTCCTTGAAATCCAGCACACAATGATGAATAACAATGAGATGTATTACTCTATTGAAATACATATCAAAAGCTAGTCAATATATGGGTCGATACCATGGTCGATACCCCTGGTTCGGAAGGCATTGTTTAACTGCATAAGTCAACAATGGTGGCTGTGTGAGGCTATACTTAGACATACAAGTCCAGATCCTAATCTCAGGCGGATTCACATTTTCTTTTCAACTTGTGGTAACATTGAAAGATAGAGCAAGGGGTCTCGAGCATTCCTTGAGTGCCCTTCTAGTTTACATTATTGTCTCAATTAATAATATATGTTTAGGCATTACAAGATAACGTTTGACCAAAAATTATTACAATCGATTCTATCTTGTGTTACCAAATGTAAAGGGAGTCCCTTACAATAAGTAATTGAGCCATTTCACACAACACCATGAATGTCAACCTGAAGATGTTGTGGGAAAAAAGGTCAGGGGGTCAACAAAGTCATTAGTGTTCCATTTTCTGGAGACATGTCTGTATAGACCTCCAACATAATCCATTGATGGTGATTGGCCAACCAATTGACCAATATTACAACCCCTAAAGCCATCCTACACTAAAATAGAATCAATAGATTACCTGAATCAATGTGAGGATTTGTTTACATAACACTTTTCTGTCTCATTTGGCGTTGGTGGGAAATCACCATGACATCTTGGTATTATGATAATTCCAGGGGGACGAGACCCGGGTGGTCCGCTCTATAATTTTCTCTCATTTTCCGGGAATGTCAACATGTCAATAAACCACGAGTCGGCCTTTCAAAATCGTTATAATCAGACATATTATGTTATTATTCTCTGATCGAATATTAGGTACACAGAATTGAACACTGAGTCTCAACTAAAATAACAAATTCCCCCAAAACTGCCATTGAGTCAACTGCACTTATTATGCAAATAGGCTTCATCTGAACTGTAATCACAACAGACAAGGCCCCTCGGGAGTGATGACAGATGTCAGCCCTTGATTATAAATGTCAGCATCGAGGAAGAGCCCTGCCCCGGCTGCCCAGACACACCGAGGCCTTGATTTGTCATCCAGACACAGGCCCACATCTATTTCCTCATTAGTGGCGTGTAATCACTGTGTTAAGCCGTGCTGTCATCGTGTGATATTTCAAAAATCATTTTTGATTGACTGTAGTGGAGGTGTTCAAGGAAATCCTCAGAGGGGGATGTCGTTAAGAAGAAATAAGGGGAAGCAGGAGGTTTTTTTTTATTAAAGGCACCTCACCTGATAAAACACTTAAATGTTGAAAGAAAGCTTCAAGAGCACATTTGGTTTCAATATTTGTGCATTTTGATTCAACTCGTTGGATGAAATTGTTATTTAATTCGATTTTTCCAAGTTTCTATACATTTCAATAATCTGAGTGCAACATGCACTGGTTGTATATGTGTTCCCTGTCATGTTGGATACACAGTGTTTTCCATATATGAAGTAAACACAGCTGTGGTGCTTTGAGCAGTGGCGAACCGTGTCTATCACAACTGGACCTTCTGTAGACTCACACACCCCCCCACCCCGGCGTTATAATGTCCGTCTTTTCACTGAATTGTCGTCTTGAAAAGGGTACTCACAACAATTCCGCAACAACTTCATCTGCACCTGTTGCCCTTGCTATTTCAACGTTAAAAACAATAAAACGGCATGAATTGCTTCGTCGCATTCATCTAGATTCTCTGTCTCGAGCCAGTTAACTAGCGGGCGTTCTAGAACACCCTGGAACCGAGGGAAACTCTGAAAGAACACGCCCATTGGCTACAAATCTATATCTGATTGGTTGATCAAACTGTCGGTCCAAACGTACGCTCTCATTCAGTGCAACGGCCAGGGCCTTCTATCAAGGATGTAGAATACCTTGGTTGAAGGATATTCTACCCAGAGACCCAGAACAAGATCTGATTGGTTGCTTTCTTTTCTAACACAAAACCACTGAAATGCGTAGTGCATGGTCCGAGAAGGACAAACAAATCAACGTAACACTGTGATATTACAGATCAACAACACAGATACCATTCTAATTTATTCATTTTATACACATTTTATTTATATAATTAAATCGATTTTTTGTTTGTTTTATCTGAGTGTTCCAGGGTATTCTCTGAATACCTTGAAGGCCCTGACGGTTCGCCACTGGCTTTGAGTAAGAGTCCCACCCAGTGTGTTTCTGTCTGCTCCTGCATTCGGAGCTGATATGGAGAGTGTTTTCTAAAGCTTGTTTCAGAGGTGGATTACATGGCCCATGGTGTCGGCTGTATTTAGGTTTCACAAGAGGGAATGTATTATTGAGCAGTCGCCGGTAGCTCTCTCCAGTCATGTAACACAATAACTTCACACTGATGTTTTGTGTGCATCTCTTGTTTCAAACGGCGTAAGGAGGCCTCCTGCTGCTTTATGTTTTCCCTCAGGTGGATTCACAGGAGAATATGTTACATGTATTTGTTGAACGGACAGTGTTATCACATTTAGATTTCCCTATAAAACAGTAAAGCTGGGAATACAGACACTTGTGTATTCAGCAGTATAGAGACAAATGTGTATTTATGAGTCATTTTATCCCTAAATAAACATTCATATAATCCTCTGAATATTGTAACACCACCATTGATGCCCTACTTTTCACCTCATGCTATATATACAGGCCTGTATACATTCACGGACAATGCACAGTATATATCCACTACATCAAGCAAATGTATTTTAAGAAATGAACTGAACAGGTGCAAATGTGATGGGTTTTTTCACACAGTATGGAAACATCTCCTGTGGCTTTATCATCCTGCTGTCCACAGTAAACTTATCTAGACTATTGCATGAAAAGAATAAAAGAGAAATGTTGATGTCAATACAAACACAGATTCTCGATAGCCTACAAATTAACTCAACCCAAAAGTGATGTTAGTTGGTATACAACTATATAAATAACCACAGGACGATCCACCTGTGCTGCACTTCTGTTGAGAGTGCCCTGGCCTTTTCAGTCCCAGTGTGTAACGACAACTGTCCTTGAGAGGGGACATTTGGAAAGAGTTGTATTTGCAGTTTCTAAGATCATCGGTCGTGACCTTTGCTCTGCTTCTCCATATGACTCCTCTCCCCCTGCTAGCTCCTTTTGTAAATCCCTCCCTTCTGGAAGGAGAGTTGAGAACACTTTCACTCTGATGCAGTTGTTGTAATAATAGAGGAAACGGTAGCAAGCAAGCACTTCAAAAAGTAGTAGAAGCGAAAAGTCCCACTTTAAAATATCATTTCTTTTTTTTACATATTCTATTTGCCTACGTTCGGTCTGTGATTGTGTCTGTTGTTACGTTTTCGAATGGATCCTTACTGTAGTTCATTTTAATTTATTTGCTATTGGAAGGTAGACCCTGCCATGTTACCCTTTTTTCTATTGCCAGCCCTAGTACATTATGTTTCCGATTTTCTATCTAATACAGGCAGCACACAATTACCATACAAGTCATTTTCTTCCAAGAAAAGAAACATAGTTTACAATTGCCTTCAAGCCATTAAGATAACGTTTTCATCAGCTTCCTTTATAGCTTTTGAAAAAACTCAAATTCTGCATAAAGAACACATTCGCATTGCTACAGACAGACTGTTGATAGACCATAGTCATTCAGTGTTACGACAGCGTGCCGATAATGTTTTATTGTCTAGTTCATTTGTCATGGTTGATGTACAATGGTTCCCCTCTCTGCAGTGCTGATAAGGGAGCTTGTCATTGGAAGGTGGATGCTTTGAATATGCAAGCAAGTTCGGGAACATTGTAATGGGATTCATATAAAGCCCTCTGTTCCTCCATACAAGATGAGTGTCCTTGAGCATCACCACCCTTTCAAATGTTCCCTAGCAGCTTCATGGAAAGCAGTGTAAGTTTGTGGTTGTGCAGACATATTTCACTCGGCAACTTTCCTTCAGAAAAATAAGTATAGGATGCTAGAAATGTAGAATTGGATTAGGAGCATTGATTGGAAAATAACCAATTAGTTCCATCCTACACTAGCCGTGTGCCAGTCTTTCATCACATGTAAGTGCTTTTGCTGAAGTTCGCCTGTAGCCCCATTCGTGTGCTTTGTGAATCAAGACATGGCGTTGAGCTCTGCCAATCAGACGTTATGTAACAGCAGCATCTGTCAATCAAAAGAGGTTAGAAGAGGTTCAATGCTCGCTCAGGGCTATTGTTGATCTTAAGCTCTGTTATTTATTTCTGAAATTGAATTAGTAAATGATTAAGAGGAACAAGTTTATGCCTTAAAGTGAAAGTCAAAAGAAAATAAACCAAGGTAACAGAGTGACTCATTTGAAGGCTTAAATTCAAACTGACTCACTTTCTGAGGAGATCATTTTTTCCTAAAGAGGATAAAACATTTCTGTATGCAGGAATAATCTATGCTGAAAGTCTCCCTCCCTCAGCAACTCATTAGGCTGTGTATGTTGTCAACTTTCAACATTGGGGAGAACCGATTGAGTTTGAAAAGTAAATGTTTGTAATTGAACGCAAGCAGTGATCGTCACTCGATAGCACTTTATCGCTACCGCTAGCGTAAGCAGTTACATGTTGTCACACATTACACAAAGGGCAGATTATAGCCTTAGCTTTCTTACACAGCCAGTCTTGTAACCCACAATGTGTAACCTGCTAAGAAATGTTGTCGGCTTAAAAGCTTTATATAACACAATCTTGTTGTGTACTACATCTCTCATTTTGAGATGTCACACCACAGAAAAGCACTCTTCTAACAAAATACTAGGCCGTTGTAGCAGCTTCACTTCAGACTACATTTAAAGAAGGAAGTGTTTCTGTTGTGCTCTGAAGATCCCCAGATCAATTGTGCTAATTTGAACCCAAGGGTCACTAGCTTCTAAAATACATGATTTAAGACTGATTGGGTCTCTTTGCTATTAACATTCCTATTCGGAGTCATAGCTGATTTTAGTGTCTCTATTCTGCCCTTGCGTATGCATCGCACTGCATAGCTTCACAGATAGCGAACAAAGACTCAGAAGACAGTTGTTGAGTTGACCATTTACTGAGGCTTGAAATTGTAAAACTGCAAGAATAAACAGAAAAATACAACACAAGTTACGCAATTGAAATAATACATGTGCAACATAATGCAAATAGAGTGCAGTATAATCAATAGCCTATGCTAAGAATGAGCTATGTCCGTTAGCTTAGCAGCTAGTTAGCTTATCTAAAACATTGAAACCACACAATTAATTAAACCACATTTTTGAAACATAACTTGGCACACAGGTAAGTTTGTATACTTACAGACAGATCTACTCCAAGGATTAAAACAAAATGATCTGTGGCATAGAACTGAGCTACGATGTGCTCTGCATGGCTTTGCTGTGTAAACTAAAACACAAGAAGGAGAGTCGCGCTATCTGGTGCCTTAAAGCTACAGTACCGAATTTTACACTATGGTGTCAGAACAGTCTCTTTTATGACCACTGCAGACAACATCTGGTGTGTCAGCTAGTCCTTTCACAACCCTTTTGGGAGGGTCACAGTGACCACAGGTCTAAACAGCAGACCCCACCTGCAGGGCTCCACCTGGGGGAGCTATACCTGTCATGGGGCCAGCTTGGAGACGTTATAATATCTGAAAAGTCCTGGGTTGACTCCGGGGTCTGCACCCACTGGGAGAAGGTAACCACCTTGTGCCGTATTAAATCATAACACGTCAACTGGATGTCCCTGGTCCAAAGACCACACTGGGCTTTTTAAGTACCTTACGCAGACTGCTGCTGTAGATTCACCTTTTGCTAAATGATCACGGGGTCAGAGGTCACGTTAACCGAATATTTTCCGTCTATGACAAAAATCTTTTAACAATGACGGGAAAATCAGAAAGCCATCTGTCATTTTGACAGATTAGAACAAACTCCGAACAGCGCCAACGTTTCCCCGCAGCGGGGCTCCGGTATTATGCAGTATTATGCATGCCAAAAGGAAATTATATCGTTTCCAAACCTAACTTTGCCGAACAGATCAACGAAAGTATTTGCTTTACGCTGTGCGCGTTCCCGTGAGGTGCTGTGGGCATGCATAACACAGCGTTCATGAGCGAGCATCCACCACCCCACCCTCCCCCCCCCACGGGGGTATGATTATTTGTTGGAAATATGCATACACAAAAAGTAGCAAGTCCCAGGACATCTTCCAAATAGCAACAACCAACGCTGATGATAGTCTGAGGGCTTTCTTCCTTTCCAGTCTCTCTAAACAGTTTGAAAATGGATCGACAAATTAAAGGAATGTGGGGGCGCTTAATGCGAAAGCTACACTACAAACCTTTTAGCTACGCGTAATCAGGATTCAAGGCTGCTTCTATAGTTCCAAGTCCTTCACAATATGTCGGGTATTGTGTTTCTCCCAACCTATTTAAAGCTGATAATGAAAACCTAATTCCCTGCTCTTTGCTGGTGCGACTCCCTCTCTAAATTGCGGTGATGAAGAACAAAGTGATGAACACTTAAAAACAGCAACATGCTATTGAGTCTTCAAATTAAATGCCAATACTTATATCTGAAAGAGGAGAAACTCAAATGGATAGTGGTGAACTGGGGACCCGTGATCTGCTCGTGTATCATTATAAGTGACACATTAGTCAATACAGATATTCCCTATCTGGAAATCAATACACCCATTGAAAAAAATACCCCTGTTAACTTTGAAGTAAAAAGACGAATTTATCCAAAATAATTATTTAGTATAAACACCTGAGGTTATCAAAGGAAACATGCTTTCTTTGACCTATTTTTCTTCTATTGTCTTTCCAGTACGCTGGATAGCTGCAGGGTACTCTGAGGCTCGGATGTGAGGGTGTATTCATCGAAAAAAATCACATGCTCCAAAAAAACATTAATCAAAACATTCTAACGTGGCTACCTGACACGGGGGAATGGATTGAGCGGCTGTGTTTATGCTTCTTTGGCTGCGTGTGTGTTTCCGTTTGAGTGTTGCCTGTGTGACACATTCATCACTGGGGACATACATGAGCTGTAGAAGGGCACAAGGGCAAGAGAATGGGTGTTAACTGTGAAGCAATATGAGGAGATGGAGGAGAAGAAAAAAGGTGGGAAAAAAGAAAGTGATAAGAATGTGTGCTTTCTGCTTATTTGTGTGCCTAATCGGGCTTAGTCAGAGACTCGTGGATACATTCCTCTTGAAGGAGCTGCCATCACCTTCTGCACCACTACACTTGAAGGTCACGGTGTCCCAGTATCTCTGTCTCAGGTTGCTGTAAAATCACCCAAAAAATGCTCTTATTACCCGGACACTTCGCATCACTTCAGAAAAGAGTGTGCTCAATGTGTTTGTGTGGAAACAAAAACTAAAAGACAGAAGAGAAATACTGTTTATGCGATATTAGAGCAAGTATTCAAGGACTGTAGTTTCCAAATGATTATGGTGTGGAGAACGTATATGTATTATTCATGCCCCCGCCCCCCCCCCCATTGTTCTAATTTGTTTGCTTTACTCACTGAAATCTCTCTAAACAGTGTCCTTGTAGCAAACAACTATCCCGTTAATACAATACTTAAGTCATGCTTTGTTAGCCATGAGCAGATATTGTTTTTCAAAATCCCATATGTATTCAAAACAAATGAAGTACATTGCCAATTAACATTTTGCAGTAATATATTGTAATTGGCCTGATCTGTTAATTAACAGGTTCTCATTATGCATAATACCTCGAAAGCGTGTTTGCTCTTTTTTGAACTTCTTAAAGGAAAGTGGTCTCTTTTATCATTGTTCGAGTTAAAGATGTATTGTTTTAAATCTCTAATTAAAACAAAGACATGATCAGAATGTGAGCAGGTGAGTCTGATTGTTGCTGTCATGTTAAACACATTTTTAGTTATGTGTTTAGAAAAATGATATATATATATATTTAAAAGCATTACGAACATCATATTAATCCTGACAAGCAGTTGCTATGAAAACCCGATAGTGATGGCTATCTGTGACGCACAATATCAAACGCCTGCCATTGTCACCCTTACCATATAAACCATCCTGGCCATTACAGTCAGGATGGCCATTACGGACTCTGAGCTCTATAATAGCACTAATAATTCTGCCATACAGCCTCCTCTCCAAGCTGTTCACCCTGCAGTTTTTCAATCACCCGCTCTCAATAAAAGGCTAAACAGGGCCATCAATCAATTGCTCTATCCCCCAAAACAGAAACGTCTCTGGTTTATTTTGCATTTGAGTAATACTTTTTTAATTCATATATTTGTTGAGTCTTGTGTTGTAAAAATGTGAACCCACCTTTTTCCATTTCTCACACAAATAAAAGTCCAACATGTGTTCCTTATCACTTTCTATTAAATTGCCCTCCTTGTTTTTGATCATATCTTTCGAACAATCAAAGAAAGTGGTCTGTGGACTCCCTTTAAGTTGAGTGTTATTAAGTGCTTTCAGTCGTATCTGGCTGGATGGATGCAGTCCATAGTCTTATCTCCTTTTTGGATAAAGTGTCAGATGATCCGGAAAAATTGTAGTCCTTGCTCTTTTTCTGTAAACTCTGGCTGGCAGCGGTTCTAAACTCCTGGCGCATCCCAACTAATAACCACTTCACCTCAGGGGTGCGAGGTGCAGGCAAGCTTAAAAGAAGCCGAAAAGAAAAAAACAATCATAAAAACAAAAAAGATCCTCGCCTCCCGTCAGCTCATCACAGGAAGTGCAGACTCAGCAGCAGCCTATGCAAAAGCTCTGATGATTATGCAGACACCAAAGAACGCTCGAAGCACAAACAGCTGGCCCCGTCTCACCGAGGATCACGGAGAGTCTTCTGATCCTTCTAATATATTCCTTAATTACTGATATGTGTCGACAGTGTGTGTGTGTGTGTGTGTGTGTGTGTGTGTGTGTGTGTGTGTGTGTGTGTGTGTGTGTGTGTGTGTGTGTGTGTGTGTGTGTGTGTTTTGGGCAGCAAGTGTATTCCAAATATGTCCTTGTGTGCAAACATTCACACCCTTTTGACCCCAAAAGATGCAAAACCGTAAATCGTGGTCAATTTGTCCAATGTGCATTTTACCGGAAGAGGCTGCTCGCTGTGCATACACATGCTGCCCTCAGGCTAACTGAATAATCCGCGCCTCCTATATCATCTCGCTGAGTAAAGTCCATCCACTGTTACAGTTTTCCTCATAGTCAACGTGAGGGCTTTAAGACTAGGTAATGACACCTTACATGTTTAGATCTGTCTTTTGCCAGTCTGACTTGTGGGCTAATGGAGTGGGAAACACAATGCACACCTGCTCTTGCGGTCATGCAGATAAAAAGTGTATTTTCTAGAAACAAGGTCCTAGTGGTTGATGGGTGTACAGCCAACCATACAGTCAACACTAGAAGATAAAGTCCTGAACAGAACGGCTGGATTTCTTTTCACCAGTGCTTTCATTTGTGATTGGTCTTTCACAAAGCCATCTAAAACTTACCCACCTCAACTCCTGATGATTTGATTATATTCATAGAAAGGGCCTGAAAAACCAATTTCCTCAATCAGCTGCTTCTTATGATGGTGTCTTATGTGAGTACAAAAACTGTTATGTTGTTGTACTTCTCACTGATTTGAGAATCAGATGTACTTTTGTAATGTATGGCACCAATCTGGATTTAGAAATATTTGAACCTACGTATGACATTTGTTTTGTTTTATGTGTAAATTGAAGGACTTGAAAGCAGTCACCCACACAGTTTTGATGAAACGTTAAATATTCATGCCTAGAATTGCAACAACCATCGTCAAAATTATAGAATCTATAAACTACGTATTCAGCCCTCATTCATTTAGTTTTAAACAACACGTTTATTTAGTTGACTTTTGCATTGGAGCAATAAAAGATCTGCTTGATGTCACCATTCACATCCTCTGAGGTCTGTATGCAATTACGTGAAAACACATTTGATCGTGAGGTTTTCATGATCTCTGCTAGATGTGACAGGATTGATCAAACTGCAATTCACACCTACCCCTGCGGCTAATTGCTGTGAAGCTAATGAGACTGTTTCAAGTGAACATCATTACACATAGTGTGTGTATAATATCAGTTCAAGAGTGTATCTGAAGTCAAAGTGTTTAAGAAAAGTCTCTAAGGATGAGGATAGTTTTTATATTTATTATAATTTTTTATTATTTATTATTTATTTATTTATTATTATATATTTATATATTATTTATTTTTATAGTTAGGGGTTCAAAATCACAGTGGCTGATAATCTGAATTCATTTATTGCGATCTATCAAAAAGTAGAAAATGTTCCTTACAAGTTCACAAACAGGCCACAAAGGCAAACAAGGGTGTCGGTAAAAAAAAAAGAAAACAGAGAAACTTAGGCAGCCAGAATTGATTCATGATTATATTTACCCATATTTAGATCTTGAGATGTTGGTAATTTGTTGCTGCCTTTAACTGCTAATGTGTGCTGTAACAGAGAGCTACCTCGTCGTTCTTTCTTTTTTACAGAGATTGTTTTATTAGCCTTTACTTGATTATAATGCTGATAATTAAATCAGCAGAAGAAGGAAGCTCACTTTTCCATTTCCCTCTAACTGTATCATGGTAACATCTGTTGGAACTGGCAACCTGTGAGCTGCCATCTACATACATTTTTTATCATTTGAACACCCACTGCCTGTGATGCATGACTTACACATCTACAAAGATTTTTGTAAGATTTTGCAACACTTCTGAAATCTTGCATAAAAGAGAATTATTTCTTTGATGAAAAGAATCCCCTAAAAACGACATGACTTATTTAAATATGTCCGTCTCTTTTATATGTGCAACGAAAGATGTTTGGTGGAACAGCATTAAGATATCCTGATCTCCTATTATCAGGGCCATAACAACACAACACCTTTCATCCAACCATTGTTATGGCAACCATACGGCAACATAGACCTTCATGTCTGTGACGATTTGTTTCTGCCACAGTTAATAAAGAATATGTAATTTTCCACAAACAACCGCTGGAACCACGTCAATGACAGGTTCAAATATGTGGCACTCCTGGGAGAGTGTTTCTCTCCTCCGACGTTTGAACAGCCCCACAGTAGAAACATCACTCGTAAAAACAAGTCCCGGCCATCGCTCTCTCTCTCTGTTATCGTTCTTTGGTTTTTATGGGTCCAAGTGCAGTTTTGCCTGGGTCAGGTGATAACAAACCGGGCAGGGGAGAGGATACATCTGTCTGCCGTTTGCCTGTGAAACATTGAGTCAGCTAAAAGCGTTAAGCTCCGTCAGCACCCTGCAGTGCCTTTACAATTTAATACAGAGCTGCTGCTGCAACATTATAAAACACACTCAGTTTCACACGCATAAAGTCATCTAGGAGGACCACTGTAGCATCTTAAAGTAGTCCCTATACTACTCACAGCTTCTCGTATAGTTCATGGTAGATAACCCTACATGGTTGGACATGTGTAATCCATCACAGGGATGTATACGTTCTCACAAAACTACACTTTTGTTTTAAGACTGTTTTGGAAAATCAACTTGTTGCCGTGATCA